TATATTTAAGAACTACATTATATAATATAGTTTTATGGCTGCCTTTGTGATACAATAAGCATGATATGAATAAATTATGTACTATTCCAGTATATTTCAAGTGGTCAAATACCTAGTTCATCAATACTTCTGTTGATGAACAACTCAGTTTGCCCATAGCAGTGTTCAGCAAAATTCTGTTTCTGGTAGTGGACTTCTCATTGGTTGACAAACACAACTGTAGCATGGAACAAATAGCTTGTGAAATGAGGTACTACCATACATTGATACACATTTTATTATGCAATAATTCTAAACAAATGTTGAAAAATTGATGTCAAATTCATCATGAAGGCACAGGGAGTGGACTTCAATGATCATCAGAATCCTAAGGTTGACTGTCTCATTCTACTATTGTTGAAAGTGATTGAGCTATCTAAATCTGAAGAAATGTGATATTAAATAGGCATGTGAGAATAGTTAATTTGTTGTGTGTCTTTGTATTTTGAAAAGAGTGAGGTGTGTGCTGCCATGTACCCATCAGGCAGTTCTAACAACCTGCTTTTAGTTTATCTCTACCCACTCCTTTGAAGCAAAACACATGCATTATTCATTATTTTGTTTCATTTGTGTGTGTGCATACAATTTTAACTTCCCAGTCTTCCTAGGATTGAGTTATTCAATTATCAAAGACACAAATTTCTCAAAAAAATATTTTTGATTGAAAGAATGAAAAAAAGACTTTTATTAAGAATTCACTGGGTGCCACACCTTGTGCCAATAGCCCTACATGCACTTTCCTGCTTAATTCATAGAACAATCTGTACAAGAAAACCAAACTGTGTTTCTCTATACTTGCATTCACCACTCACACCACTTCATGTCTGACCAACAAATGTTCAGGTTTTTTTCAATACCAAGCAGGTTTTTGTAGCTAACGACTAGGTGTCCAACAATTTAACTCAATTCTAATACATTTTACCACTGAATGTGAAAAGCTTGGTCAATGTTTGTTTGAGTCAGGATCCATTGATAACTTCCTGAGCCCACCAACATTGGCCCAATCAAGTCTACTGCCCGCTCTGTGCAGAAATCCTTCCCCAGGGAATCTTCTTAACCACCTAGAGTCTCTTTCTATCTTCCTAGCAGAACAGTTCTTGTTGGCATCTTGGGAAACATGCCTAGATTCAGTGCATCTCTGCATTGTATTAGGCCTTCCATGGCTACCTCTTCTTTGGACCCAGCTGCTCACTTCAAGGGAGTGGATCAGAAGGCCCACTTAGTAGTTTTCATTGCTGTTCGAACCTAAAAACTTGTTCTTCTGATCCGTATCACCCTTAAATTCCCATACTGATTTCCAAAAAGGCCTCATCCTTTACAGTAGTTCAGTTTTCCAGGCCCATCTACCTGACCATATGGCTAGGTGAATTAGTAAGGTTTCTGTTGCTGTAACAAATAACAGAGATAATCAACTTCTGAGGTCAAAAGTGTTATTTTGGCTTAGTTTGGAGATTTAGGCCTATGGTTGGCTCTGTTGTTTTGCCAAACATTTAGGCCTATGTTGGCTCTGTGTCAGGACCTATGGCAGAGCACAAAGCAGAGCAAAACTTGACATTTTATGGTCAGGAAGTGAAAAAACAAAGAATAAAGGACTGAGATCCCATTGTTCCTTTCAGTGGCATGCCCTCAGTGATGCAGAGACTTCCCATTAGACTCCATATCTTAAAGGCTCCACTCCTGATAGCACCATAAGCTGCGAAGCACATCTATAACACTTGGGTTCTGGGCACATTCCAGATCCAAACTGTAGCTCTAGTCCATTCACTAAGGCCCATGAGTAAGTGAAACTTAATCACATGCACATTAATCATTGCACAATTCTTCCATTAATGCCAGAAAAAATAGTATGTAGTACAGACCATTGATACAATTTGTTCATTTTTATCAGCAATACTTTTTATATTCTTCGGTCTTAAAGCAATAGATTTCTGAACAGGATAAACTATTCATCTTGGACCTGTCATGTGTGAATCAAGCAACACTTGGATGGCTGTTGGCGAGCTGGTCCTGACATGGCAGCTATGGAACGCTTTGGATAGTTTCAAGGGCAGTTCTAGAGGAAAATTTTCCCTGGACAAGGTAATCTTTTTGCATTCCCTTGATTGTGTCACCCTGGATAAATCATTTACATTTTATTGCAGAACTCTTCTGAGCATTGCCTTCGCTATTAGAGTGTTTCTCTAACATATCTGACAAGAGCCAGGGAGATGGCTCAGTAGAATAAGCACTTCCCTGGCAAGTACAAGGGTCTGAGTTCAATCCCCAGTTTCACAAAAAAAAGCTTTAGGGGGTTGGGGATATAGCTCAGTAGAATAAGCTCTTGCCTGGCAAGAGTGTTTCTTATTTGTTATCTAAGACATTTTTGGATATTGGGTTTCATGGTTATTTTATGTTTTTAAGTCATAAAGACAGTCTGAATGAACGCTCAATAGAAAGCTAGTAATTGTCACTTGGATGATGTGTACCAGAGGCAGCATCTAACAATGTTCTGGTCCCAAATCTCAAAATTCACCACTGGGAGATGCTCATCAGCCCCTGCTGTAAAGTACAAGTGTGCTCGAATGTGAGTCACTGACATTTCCAAAATCATCTCTGACAGGGAATCACATGGACCAAAGGCTCCAGGGGAGCTACTGCTTTTTGTAATTCAGACATGGCCTACTTTTGTTCAGCTCCTGACTTAGGAGTTTTCTTGGAACAAAATGGCTTTCTTTCCATTCTTTTCATAGTTTGTAATATTTCCAGATGTGAAATGTGTATTTTCCAACATTAGAATATGTCTCAGTTACTCTTCTTTCATTGGTGGGACAAATACCTAATACCAAAAATGAAGGTAGGAAAGGTTTATTTGGCTTACAGTTACTGGAGGTTTCAGTCCATATTCGGCTAGCTCCAAGCTCCAAAGGTTGGCAGAGGGCAACCTTTCATGGCAGCTGAAAAAGCAAGAGGAGCCAAGGGAGGAGTAGCAGCAACAATAGTGACAGAAAGAGAGCCTGTCTCTGTCTCTCTTATGTTACATTCAGGCTATCCACCCCAGGCTGGGTGTAGCACTCACCTTCATCATCCCAGCAGTACTAAGACCCATAATCCCAATGGACCATGAGTTCATCTCAAACTCTAGAAGTTCCCGCCCCATGACTGCATGAAGCTTTGGAGGGACAACTAGACACAAACCATAGCAGAATAAACCAATGAAATGTTGATCTTTTTACTTGATTCTAAGCGTAATAGCAATAGCAGTTTTCAGCTGCTTGTGGAATGTTGTAAGTGGCTCCTGCCCAAGCTACTGCTAAGAATTTCACCATTTAGGGCCAGCAAGATAGCTCAACAGATTAAGCCCCAGCTTTGGTAAGCTCCCTGGTCCAGCATGCCTCACAGACCTCACCTCAGGTGCATGCTGAGCAAGTGACAGTCTGGGCATGGTGGTGCACACCTGTAATCCCAGCACTGGGGAGGCTGAAAACAGGAGGGTCACTACAAGTCTAAGTTGTACAGTAAGACCCTGTACTAAATACATAAAATGAAAAAAATTCTCTGTTTGGGCAGAGTGTCACCCTTTTTTATAATTATTGTGATTAAGATCATTACTGCCATTTAAATTTACATAAGCATCACATTCATCATAGGAAATTTGTACCTGAACATGATGTATCCTGATTCTTTCTTTTTTCTCATTTCCCTCTCATTCCTTAAACCCCTATTTCCCTCCTTGTTTACAAAGCTTTGTTTCTATTTTATCCTTCTTTCCTCATTTTTTCTTTTTCCTTCCTTCCTTTTCCCCTCTTAACTCCCTAGCTCCCCTTTCCTTTAAAGCAATTTCTTCCTATTTCATAATATCTATTATGCATTTTAGTTCTTATTTTCACTTTCAGGTTCTCAGATCACAGAGACAATGTGATATTTATACATGTGTTACATTTATTTCACTTAAGAATATAGACTTAAGGTCCATCCATATATTTAACTATAAATGTCTCAAGTTTATTTATTTTTATGACTGCAAAGTATTCCATTTTATAAAAACACATAATTTTTATCCATTCATCAATTGATGGGCATTTGGGTTGTTTCCGAGATTTAGCTAAAACAAGCTGTGCTGCTATAAACATGGGTCTGCATTTATCACTGTGACATGATGCTTTTAATTATTTTGGGAAGATCCTAAAAAGAGGAACAGCAGGGTTATCTGGAACCTCTAGTCATAGTTTTATGAAGAATTTCCACATTGATTTCACTAGTCTACACTCCCACCAATAGTAGAGGTTTCCTTTTTCTCCCCCCACATCCCTGTTAACATTTGTTGTTGGTTGATTTTTTGATAGTAGTCATTCTTTCTGGAGTGATGTGGAATTTCAGTGTTGTTTTAATTTGCAACTCTTGAATGACCAGTGATTGATGCTGAACACTTTTTAATATATTTATTTGCCATTTCTACTTCATCTCAGTAGTGGGTATCTATCTCAAATGCTCATTTTTAGATCGGATTTTTTTTTCATATTTTTTAGAGAAGGGTCTACAGGGTGTTTAGGGTCTCACTACGAGATCGGACTCATAATGATCCACCTGTTTACAGCCTCCCAAGAGCTAGGATTATAGGCGCACATCACCACATCCAGTCTCAATTGCTCTCAGCGAGCCCCGGGGTGGGGTGGGGGGAAGGGCCGGCATGGCAGACCCGGAGATCAAACCCTCAGCCCCTGCCCCTGCCCGCAGGCACTTTAATCCACTGAGCTATTTGGCCAGCCTTAGATTGGATCTTTAAATTTGGAGGAGGGGGCTTGATTTTCAATTATTTATCTCACTGACAGAGAAATAACCCCTTTCACAACAGCATTGAAAAAAATTAAATACTAGGAATCAATCTAACAAAGGAAGTAAAAGATCTCTACACTGAAAACTTCAGTATTCTGAGAGAGGAGAATAAAGAGGACATCAGACCATGGATAGAAACTCTTTGGTAGGAAGAAACAACATAGTAAAAATGATCATACTCTGGAAGATCTGGGCTTCAAGGACCTCACGCTGCAGTCACAAGGGCCCCTGGAGCCGTCCCTTTCCAAGCCCGGAGTGCCCCAGGACCTTGGAGGGGCGAAGCCCGATGGAGTGCCTGAGCCCCCACCGGTGGGCTGGCAGTGCCCCAGGTGCACATTCGTCAACAAGCCCACCCATCCCGGCTGCGAGATGTGTTGCTGTTCACGGCCTGAAGCCTACCAGGTGCCTGCCTAGTACCGGCCTGACGAGGAGGAGCGTGCCCGCCTGGCTGGTGAAGAGGAGGCACTACGTCAGTACCAGCAGCAGAAACAGCAGCAGCAGGAGGGGAACGTGCAGCTGGAGCAGAGGAGCCTGGTGCTGAATGCCGAGCCCGCTGAGTGCCCTGTGTGCTACGCGGCGCTGGCACCTGGCCAGGCGGTGGTCCTGCGGGAGTGTCTGCACATCTTCTTCAGGGAGTGTCTGCAGGGCACGATCTGCAATAGCCAGGAGGCGGAGGTCTCCTGTCCCTTCATTGACGACACCTACTCGTGCCCGGGCAAGCTGCTGGAGAGGGAGATTCGGGCGCTCCTGTCCCCTGAGGATTACCAGCGCTTCTTGGACCTGAGCGTTTCCATCGCAGAAAACCGCAGTGCTTTCAGCTACCACTGCAAGACCTCAGACTGCAAGGGCTGGTGCTTCTTTGAGGACGATGTCAATGAGTTCACCTGCCCTGTGTGTTTCCGCGTTAACTGCCTCCTCTGCAGGGCCATCCATGAGCGCATGAACTGCAAGGAGTATCAGGACGATCTGGCACTGCGGACTCAGAACGACTTGGCTGCCTGGCAGACCACAGAGATGCTATAGGTGATGCTGCAGCAGGGTGAGGCCATGCACTGCCCGCGCTGCCAGATCGTGGTGCAGAACAAGGATGGCTGTGACTGAATCCGCTGCACTGTCTGCCACACTGAGATCTGCTGGGTCACCAAGGGCCCTCGCTGGGGCCCCAGGGGCCCAGGGGACACCACTGGGGGCTGCCACTGTCGAGTGAATGGAATTCCTTGCCACCCAAGCTGTCAAAACTGCCACTGAGCTGAAGATGGCTGGGTCCCCACAGGAACTCTCATTCATAGGCAGGAATAGGCAAGGCTGGGTTTAGGGCACTGGCTGTGGTTTTTGGCTTATGTGACATCCCTGTGATTGGCTGAGGCTAGGTGTCCTGCCCTGTGCAGCTGCTGCCTGTGCCTTTCCAGAGGCTGCTGGCTAGACCTTCCTTCTATGTGGCTCTGACCTCTGTCAGACTCCACCCTTAAACACAGCCCTGGCCAGGGCCATGCTGGCCCGAGCCTCTGCTGGTACCTGAGCCTCTACGCTCCCCATCACAGCAGCCTCACCACTCCCCCAGCTGGCGTCAGGTGATCTCCATGTCCTGACTGTTGGAAGTCTGGCACCTCTTGCTGATGTGGATATGCACAGAGGGAGGAAGACTGGGTGTGAGAGCGCACAGCCCAATGGGCCTGAGGATGTGTCCCATCTCATCTATGTAAGCACATTAAAATGGTTTTCCAGGAAGGGCTGCATGTGATAACCTTGAAAGCATGTGAATGTCATGGGCTGGGAACACACACAGGCAGGTACTGAACTCTGAAACAACATCAGGAAGATGATCCTGATGGCCTTGAGGCCACTGTGCCAGATCCCTGCACACACACACACACACACACACACACACACACACACACCTGTGTGTGGCAGCATCAAGGGCATGTTGCTCTTGGGCAGTTGTTGCCTGACAGGCCTTCTGGGCTCAGTAGAAAGCTACAACTTCAGTGAGACTGGTCAGAAAGTCTGGCTGTCGGGTTGGCCAGGTAGCTCAGGGATTAAGGTGCCTGCTTAGGAAGATGTAGGGAGTGGGGTTCGATACCCAGTGTGCTGTGCCAGTCCCCACCCCCAGTGTATGCTAAGATGGTGATTGATACTGGGCATGGTCGTGTGCACCTGTAATCCCAGTGCTTGGGAAGCTGAAAACAGGAGGATCACTACAAGTCCGATCTGTGTAGTGAGACCCTGTACTAAATACATTTTTTTAAAAAGTCAAAAAATAAAATAAAATAAAAATGACCATACTTAGAAAATTGTTATACAAATTCAGTGCAATCCCAACTGAAATATCTTTAGCATACCTCACAGAACTATAGAACACCATCCTAAAATTCATTTGGAACCAGAAGAGATCTAGAGGAGCAAAAACAATTCGAGGAAACAAAGTCAAGGCAAGAGGCATCATAACCCCTGACTTGAAACTATACTAATGAGACACTGTGTTACTATGATAAAAAGAGCTTGCTGTTGACACCAGCACCACCACCAGCACCAGCACCACCAGTAACAAAAACCCTAAGGATCAATAGAACAGTTCAGAAGATGCAGAAACAAATTCAAACACACTAAGCCACTTTATCCTTCATGAAGGGGCCAAACACATTTACTGGAAGAAAGATAGTCTCTTTAATAAATGGTGCTGAAAAACCTGGCTTTCCACAGGCTGAAGACATGGTTACTCATGTCTGTAACCATGCATGAAATTAAAATAAAAATGGATCAATGATCTAAATATTGGGCCAGCCAGGTAGCTCAGCAGATTAAAGCACCTGCTTAGGCAGAGCACAGGGGCTGGGGTTCGATCCCCAGCTCCACAAGCTATGCCAGACCCATCCCTAGGGCATGCTGAAACAGCAATTGATACTGGGCATGGTGGTGTGTGCCTGTAATCCCAGCACTTGGGAGGCTGAAAACAGGAGGATCATTGAGTCCGATCTACATAGTGAGACCGTGTAGACTCTGTACTAAATACATTTTTAAAAAGATCTAAATATTAAAACAGAAGCATTAAATATGCTAGAAAAGAAAATAAGTAGTATTCTTGAAGACATAGGTGTAGGCAAATATTTCATGAACAAATCCCTGACTGCATGAGAATCAGCAACTGGATCTCATCTTATTAAAATGCTTTTTTCACAGCAAAAGAAATTATCAACAGGGCAAAAAGACAACTCACAGAGTGTGAAAACATTTTAGTTAGTTGTTCCTCAAAGATGCTATACCTTTGAAGGATCTATTAAGCAGTTTTATTTGAGCCTCTGCACCTCATTTCATTCAAATCAGACCTAGCTTGAGCATCAATTTCTGATATTATTATAGCCTCAGTATAGTATGTTATTATATTGAGACCTTCATCAAGTCCAAATACCTTTGTCTCAAATTATGACAGTCACCTGTACATTCATCATAATCATTTTGCAGCCCAATAGTACAAATTGGGATATTTTTCATGTGAAGGAAACTGAGTTTGGTTCTAAGATTCAGATTAGAGAAAGAAGGTGTTTATAAGATCAAACACTGAAATCAGTGTCCCTTAGCCTGTTGAATGTTTTGTATTGTTTGAATTGTTTTTGCTAATCCAGGACAGCTGAGCCCTCATATTATACCATTAGTCTCCATGAACCACAGGTTATACAGAGCTACCGTGCAGAGAATAGGTAGCAGCTGGTACCAGCTGCCAGCATATCATAGATTAAAGTAACAATCTCTTTTTGCCCACTAAGTAATCCATACTGTTTAAAATTGACCAAGTATGTGGACTCAGGCATTTCAAGTAGTTTTCATCAGCATGTCCAGTAAAAAGATTGACCTGAGGACAAACCTTACTGACTTCTGTCTTACCAGTATGGTATATGATGCCAGAGATTGAACCCTGGTCCCTGTGCTTACCTAAGCAGGCACTTAATCTGCTGAGCTATCTTGCTGGCCTGCACAATACCTTTTGAGATCTCATCCAGCCAGGGTGCTATAAAGCAGCCTGGTAGCTGCCCGCCTTAGTTCTGCCAAACGAGGCCTGTGAGCCAGTTCAGTAGTCTCACTCAATACTACACACCCCAAAGTCTCAGGAAGCACTTCAGCAACTTGCCCTAGGTGGGAATAGCTTGTAGGGGACCCTGGAAACAAGTACCTTATCCACTTTTCTCCTGCCTCCAAAGCAGTAAGATGGGCTCAAATACCCTCCTGAGTCATAGGAACTAGTCAGGCAGCCTGTCTTGCATGGTTCAAGCCACAGAAGCCTTGGTGAGCAAATGGGCAGTCCTGTCAACTCATCTATGATGTCGGGAAGAAGCCAGGACTCCATTCCTGTAAACCTTCCCTACTGAGCCCCTGAGAAGCAGCTAGGGAGCCCTTCCATCCCTTATGGCCTAAGAAACCATTAAGTAATCCATTCTTGAAAACTTGGCTCATTAGTCCTTTGGGAAGCAGATGAGCCACCCACTGGCCCTCCCACTGTCAGCCACAGGAAGCATCTGGACAGAATGCCCTGAGTGAGTGGTCCCCAAAGGCCTCACGAGTGCAACTGTGCTGCCCTCAGACAATGACGAGCACCCCATCCCACTGTCTAGCATGCAACATCACATCTAGCTGGGCCTAGTCAGAGACTGAAGGGTGCCCCAGCCAGACATGACACATCCAGAGGTTATGGCAAACACCTCATCTAAGAAGCTTGTAACCCAGATGACAGTGAACAGTGCCTGCAGCCAAGGACATGGAGGCAACTTCAAACATTACAAAATGTTGCTTACTGATGAAGAGGCTATACTCTATAAAATGCAGAGGCAGCTGCCCTGACAGCTGCACAAATCCCAAAGCAGGAAAATAAGAAGATGCAAAACAAAACAGCACAATGCTTTCAAAGGAACACAGTAACTCTCCAGCAATAGATATTCTCCAAAGGAAATCAACCAGTAACCTGACAACAAACTTAAATAATAGCTGTAAGAAACCTTAATGAGATTCAAGAAAATGCAGCTAGATAGATGATTCAACAGAATTGAAGAGACAATTCGTGACATGAATGAGAAATTCAGAAGAGAACAGAAAAATGAACCAAGGGGGGGAACTTTGAAGTTAATAATTCAATAAATGAAATAAAAATATGGTTGAGAGTTTCAAAAGCAGGATAAATCAGACAGAAGAAATAACTTCTGAGCTTAAATGCATGTACTTTTAAAATAACACAGTTATACAAAACAATTAAAAAGAATTAAAGAAGTCTCTGTGATCTATGACACGCCACTAGTCAGGCAAGCCTGTGCATTATGGAAATGCTATAAAAAAGATATGGGAAAAAGCATAGAAAAGCTATTCAGAAAACTACTTGTTAAAAACTTTCAAAATCACTGAAAAGATTTGAACATCTGATCCAGGAATTGCACAGGAACCTTGATAGATTTAAAAAAAAAACTCTAAGGATATAGTCAAAATTTCAAAAGATAATTCTACAACCATCAAAAGAAAAACATTAAGTCACATATAAGGGGATCCCCATTAGATTTCTCAGAAGAGATCTTATAATCCAGGAGAATGACATGTTATATTCAAAGTCTCAAAAAAAATTCCAACAAAGACAATAAGATAATGTTAAATTGTCTTCATTTAGAGATGACAAAATTAAATTATTTCCATCATTTCCATTTACAGATGACATTCTTTCATATAGATAGAAACCTAACAACTCCCCCAAGAATCTGTTAAGATTGATAAATGAATTCAGAAAGATTACAGAATACAAAAGCAACATACAAAAGTCATTAGCTTTTTATACATCAATAACAAAATTTCTAAGAAAGAAATCAAGCTATTAATTACACTTATAATAGCTCTGAAAACATCTAGGAATAAATTTAACCAGGAAAGTGAATGATCTCTATAATGAAAATTACAAAAGATTGATGAAAGAAATAAAAGAAGACACAACAATATGGAAAGACATACCATGTTTGTGGATTGGAAGAGTTAATATTGTTAAAATATCCATAGTATTCAAAGCAGTCTACAGATTCAATCCAATTCCTATCAAAATACCAATAACATTTTTCACATTAACATTCTTTCTTTTTGTGTGTATATTTGGGACAGGGTCTTATCACTCAGCTCAGGCTTATGGTGCTCCTCCCATTTTCAGCCTTCCCAGTGCTGGGATTATAGGTGTGAGGCACCACGTCCCATCTCAGTGACTGGCTCAGTGTGCCCAGGGGTGGGGTCAGCACAACATGTGATGCTGGGGATTGAACCTTGGTCCCTGTACCTGCCTAAGCAGGCACATAGTTCGCTGAGCTATCTTTCAGGCCCTAACATTCTTTCTAAAATTTATACAGAATTTCAAAAATCCCTGAACAACTATGGCAATCCTGAGTAAAA